ACCCTTTCTTGCCAGAATCATGCCTGAGAAGAGAAAGATGATGGAGGTGGAATATTCTGGATGCTTGGGGTCCTGCTCACCTTCAGACAGAACCATGCTATTGGTCCAGTGGACAGAGGAGTGGTCTGGGAGAAAACACTGGTTCATGTTCCTTTTAAAGGAATAAACATGTACCAATTCCTCTTTTAGCAACTAATGGTTTGAATAGTTTTTGCTTCATGTACGTGAACAGCCTGATCAAAAGGACTTCCAGGAGCAAAGGCAGGAAGCACACAGAGCGTCAGACAACCTATGTGGAGCCAGCTGGATATGATTCCCACAGTGACCAAGCCACAGTGCCTCCTGAACCTGGTGCAAGAACTGCCCACCAGGCTAGATAGAGCCGAAAGGGCTGTGAGGATTCTAAGCAGGGAGCCTCCTATCCCTTGGATGCAGGTGTAGCCGGCGGTGATGCACCGTCACGCAGATGAAAGCCAAGCCAAGCCATCCAGGAAGGCAGTCTGCCTGCAGTACGCTTCCTGGACCTCAGCGCATGCGCAGCAGCCTGCTGGTGCTCGGAGGCAGAGAAAACCCTGTGGTGGTGGCCTGTTGTCCTTCAAGGTTAGACTTGTAGTCCTTTGGCTTTTCCAAAGTTTTGGGCTTGTTGATGAAACCATCAGTGGTTTCCCAAGAGTCCATTTCTTATAAAATAAAATCCAATAAGTTTTACGTCCGTGTCCTGCCCAAATGTCCTCGGCCCACCCCAACCACATCTGCTTCCTAGTTGCACAATTCCTGTGTGCGCCAATGGTTGCCTATCCAGGCACCTGTGCCTCCCTGCCTGAGGCTCTCTCCAGCCACAGCAGCACAAGGCAGGCTGCTCGTGAGAAGTCAATGCTCCCGGGGACAACGCTCTCCTACTGAATGACAACACTTGGTGGAGAAGAACCCCTGTTTCCTAGGCCCTTCTGGTGGGACAATTTTGAAGTATGTTTTGGAGGGCCCCAGGACTGAGCCACACCTGCCCTCAGTAACCTATGGCAGTAACCTATACATCTTCATGGAATTTTCTTCCTTCCCTGTCTCCATGCTTCCAAGGAGCACCCTCCAAATAGATTACTTTTTACCCCAAATCCTTTTCTCAAGAGTTTTCTTGAGAAACCCAAACTACGGCACACAGTGAAGTCAGGAGGTGGGCACTGACAGGAGGAGAGGATCCAGGAGAGGCTAAGAGACAAATTTCACATGCTTCAGCCACAGTAATGGACTCTTAGAAATAGTGAGGGCTATTTCTGAAGAAACACGTACTCATGAAAAGCTCATAGCTACTTTTCAGTCTTTCAGGATGCACCAGGCAATGACTGTAAACAGATTAAATATATATAACTTTTTGTGAGGGATGTTTAGCACAAATTAAGACAAGCTCAGAAGAGGCCTGGAGGAGCTCAACAGGGCTGTGAAGGAAGGACAGAAGGTCAGGTGGACCTAATCCATTATAGCCCAAAAACTGTGGGAAGGGAGAACCCTTGGTTATAGAAAAAAATATTTTTTTTTTGCCAGAGTAGCTTTAAAAAAAGATAACAGTAACAACAACAATGGGGGGAAAAGATAACTTTGACTTAATTTTTACTATATGACAGGGAGTGAAATAGGACTTTATATAGACTATTTTAATCAGTTCTGTTACGTCACTTTCAGATAGTAAGACTCAGAGAGTCTGAGGAAATTATGTGTGGCCATTCAGCTAACAGTGACAGGTGGGAAGATACAGCACCATCTATCATCTATCTACCTACCTACCTACCTATCTATCCATTCATCATCTAAATATGTATAACTAACTAGTTAGCTAGCTATCTCTATAAATACATATATTTTATTCATACAATGAGATCTGATAGGCTTTGAGTGAAAAACAACTTGAGAGAAAATGTAATTAATTACCAGAAGTCCAGAATGACAAACTGAGGTCAGAAGCAATGCATGGGCTGTGTTATACCAGCCCAATGGGCAACACTGTCAGTAGGCAGGCATGGTTCTTATCTTGGAAGAATGAGGTCAGATTTACTGACAGGTGTCCTTTGCTCCTATCCTCATCCTAATGTTAGAGAATCTTTGATTTTAAAAAGCTCTGCTTCACCAGAACAGCCCATACTCCCTGAGGTAGTTGTCTTTCCAGCTCAGCTCTTTATGGAGTTCATGAGGGAGATAGGAAGAAGTCATTTGTCCCCCAGGACCACAGAATAGGTTGTGCAGGTGTTACTCACATTGGAGTTTCTCTGAGTGGAGCCCCTGGAGTTGTGCAGAGGACAACCTGTATAACTATATACGGCAGCCCCACCTGCCCCACAGATGAGATCTGCTGTATGAACTGCAGGACCAAGAGCACAGTTGAAGCCTTCTCATTTCTCACTTTTTCTGAGCACATTAGCAGACAGAATAAGCAGACACAAGCTCTGGAAAAAGAAATGAAACACTGACATAAAGGAGAAAAAGAGAAACAAAAGCTGTCTCTGAGTTTTCATTATCTTGAATGTTCAGAGCCTCCTGTTGCCTCTCTAGGAAGTGCCCCCTGCCTGTTGCTGGGGTTTTTACAGCCAACTGGGGAACGAGTTGATAAACCGTGGGCAGAAATAGAAACTCTACAAGAAGTGAAACCAAGTTCCACCCAAGAATGAAACCACAACCAATCACATGAGATGCCTGTGTCATCACCTGGCCCTCAGACAGGGGAGCAAATACATGGATGATCTGGTCCAGGCACCGGGCAGCTGCATTCGTCCCTGTAAGTGAAAGGAAGGAAACCTTGCAACTCAGTGAATGAGTCCTTCCTCCTGTTGTAATTAATGTCGGGCATTTGCTAATTTGCTAGCCATGCACAGGGTGAAACGGTGAAAACAGGAAGTCTCTCTTTCAGTCTGCTTATAGATTAATCATAGGACTTTCAACCTGGAAAGACCTTCAAGATCAGTTCTTTTAGGACTTGAACAATTAACAAAGGAGTAAACTGAGGACTAAAAAGCCCAGGTTACTTGGAGCTAATTATTCTAACTTCTGTCTCAACACTCTTTTCTGTCACATCTCACTAGCTTTATAATAAAAGTCATATTAATAGCCTTTATTATCATCAACATGCTGACAGGGAGAGAGATAACAAACAGAAGATAAAGAACATAATTTGTTGAGTGCTTACTCTGTGCCAGGCACATAGTTCTAAGCCTTCTACATATGTTCATCTCATTTAGTCCTCACAGCAACTCTAGGAGGTCTCTAGGATCTCTCCCTCTTACAAATTAGGAAACAGACACAAAGAGGCAAAGTTATTTGCTCAAGATCACTGAAAAGGTAAATGATAGAGCTGAGATTCAAACACAGGCAGTCTGACTCTAAAGCTCATTCTCTTACAAGGCCACCATTTCAGACAAACATATTTACAAAATCATTTAGAAAATGATATAATGAACCTCAAACCAGAATCTGTGCTTTTAGATTTCTTTAAAATTAATTAACAGAGACTATGCAGATTTTCTTGTACCCAGACACAGAGGACACTTTCAACACCATGTCACCCAGCTTTTACCCACATAGCTGTTTTATTTTGGGTGGTGTTATTTAAGCCACAGTACATCCAAGTAAATGTAGTTTAAAAGAAAACATGATTATAAGGGTCTTCTACTCTTTGTAAGGAGTGTATTTCAATAGACTCCTCCTTAATAGCTTCCTTTATCTTGGCTATAAACACTTCCTAGCGGAGAGTACCAATTGCACAAATATAGGGCTGGACAAGATCTCCAGCTTTAAGTTAGGAATTTGAATATATCACAGTGTGAATGATCCAAGTTTTATAAATGGGAAAAAAACAAAGAAGATGTCAGATTCTTCCATTTAGCTCCATTACTGGAAAAAAAAGTTCTACCTTCACTATCAGTGACATGTGATAATCAGAAGTCACATTTGGGGATGAATTTTTTTGTGAAAATAGAAGTTTATCACTGGCCAGAATTAAGACATCTTTTAAGTCACATATATCCAGGTCTAAAATTATTTTAATGCATTTTGAGGGGTTCCTCTTCTGAAAGTACAATCTCTATGTTTTTCATAATAACAATATCACCCATTTCTTCCTATGTGCAGATATAGTGCTAAGTGCTTTACAAATCCTGAATCTCAGAGAATCCATCCCAAAACTGAACTGGTGTTGGGGGGTGGGGTATCATTGCTCCCATTCTACAGGTGAGGAAAGTAAAGTCTGGAGAGGTTAAGTAACTTGCAGCTGGTAAGAGCCATAGCTGATTTTAGTTGGATGCAAATCCACGTCTGTTTGACTCCAAATTCATTTCTCTTAAAAGCTATTTTACTGCCTCTTTGGGGGCCTGGATTGGCTCAGCAGCTCTGTTCACTAAGCCAGGCCTACTTCTCAGCTGATTAGAGGACTTGTGGAGCCGAGGGTGGCACAGCTCACAAGCCAGCTGGCCTCTGGTGTCACCGTGAGGCTCTCAGTCCCATCCCACTGAATGGTGATGGTCAGTGGTGTCCTGGCCAGGTTCACCAAGGTCACCAGGGTTATCACAGCTGCATAGCAGGCCTCCAACAGAAGGAGGGGAAAGAGGGTTTGGAACCCCAGAATAGACTTTCTCAGCCCATTGTGGTACATACCGTTATTTAGCTAACAGCTGCTGAACATCTACATGAATACAAAGACCTTTGAGAGAAAGAGGTGCAGTGTAGGTTTGGAGCCAGATGTTACTGTGTTGATTCTATGCATTTTCTTCTTCCCACCCCATTAGCATTAGATCTGATGCTAATTTGTACCTTGCAGACAGACTCTGCTGTTCTGTTGCCCTCATGTCTGTGGGATTTAGACTCTGATTCACAAATTAGGGGTGAGGAGAACACTGGCTAAAGATTAGCCAGATCTAAAACCAGAGATCAGAGATGACTCACAGAAGGGCATTCAGATCTTGTCTCTGACATTCACTCTCATGGCACAGGGGCACAGGAGGGACAAGGAAGACACTCACAGTGAACCAGCGATGCCAGACTTGTTCCATCTCCCTGCATCAGGACGACACAGCAGATGGTGAGCGAAGAGCAAGGCACGAGCCAACTGCGGGTGGAAATGATATTTACTGTTGGTTTTAAGAAACAGGTTACAGCTACATCATGGTTTAATGTAGAGCAACTGCATTCGACCAATTCCCTGTTCTCACCAGAATGATCGTTTCTAGCAGCAATCGCAGGCTTGTGTAGGAGGCAAAGAGCAGGTTCATATGCTCACTAAAGGCAATGCCTTTGCAACCAAAAAAAAAAAAAAGCTGAGCTTCACAAGTAAATGAAAACATACTTTGCAAGAAGGATGATATGAAAATCAAGATACAAGAGAAATAACTTAAAATTTTCTACTGATACATTACACTTTTCCAGATTGAATTTGTGACTGAAGTTATCAATATAGACAAAGGACCAACAATCCAGATTTTAAATAAGTTAACCTTTTCATTGGTGGATTCAGAGAATGCCTTTCTAAGCCTCCTAAGTGGAATGAAAACATGACAGAAAGCTGTATAACTCTTTTTCTAGTTTTGAAAAGTTATGCTCTATTGCTGTAAGTCCATATCTGTATTTTATTTCACTAAGTAAACCAAAAAAGCTAGAGAGATCATTTTTTACCTCATAATTTACCTCATAATTATGTATGTCATAAGTAAGACTATTCCCCTTATATCTTGGTTTCCTCTCAATCCAATCACCACTTATGACCCAAATATTAACACAGATCCAGCCACGACTAAGCCAAACACTGCTGTTAGAAGAAGGCTAAAAGATGGAAGAACGTTCAAATCCAGAAAGATAAATTTCTCCAAAAGGACATGTAATATGCAGGATTTAAAATCAGAATGCCAAAATTATACTTTTATGCAGTACAGCTACAGCATTTTTAAGTACAATGTAGTTATAATTTTAAAAGCTGGACATAATATATTTTAAGAGCTTCAGAGCATCAAAGAGCCAGGAATCCCAGGAAAAAATATCAGGTGAGCACCTGTGAGAACACAAGAACCCCAAGAAGTAAGCCAGGTTCCCCTGAGATGCCTCCTAATGCAGAAGCAGCAGCTGTGAAACAGAAAGAGCTGAAATCCATGCCCACCAAAGATGGGGACAAAGACAAAACAGGTCCCATTTTAAGCTGAGACCCCATATAACTCAGCCGTCAGGATAAATAAGGGTTAAGTCAAGTAAACCAGTGCTTACCTGGACTTGTAGTTCAGCTTTACTTCATCTGGATGGTCCAGGAAATCTCAGACCTTGAGCCTGGAATAAACACATCCCGAATGGCTAGATCAGCTGGCAGGAGCTAATTAAAATCCTCTCTAAAGGAAGATACTATCATCATAGGCTTCAAAATACTGCTGCAATAATTTTTAAATATAATGCCCAGCACACAAATATAACTGGTCATACAAAGAAATGAAGCACCGTGAGCAAGATCTACAGTAAACACCCGACAATAGAAGACCTACTCAGACTTCAGAGATTTAAATTATCAGACATAGGCTATAAAATAATAATGATTACTGTACTTAGAGAAATAAGTGGCAAGTCTGACAATCTAAGCCAGGAATTGGAAATAGTAAAAAGTAACATAGCTAGTTCTTGAAAATTTAATGAGCTAACAATCTGTATTAATAGATACTTAAACCCAGAGAAAATAGAAGAAAAGCAATAATAAAGCTAAAAGCAGAAAATAATGAACTAGGAAAAAATGAAGATACAATAGGAAGGTTTAATAAAGCCAAAATCTGATTCTTTAGAAAAACTAATAAAAAAATTGCAGTTTATTATACAATGAAATACTACACAGCAATGAAATGTGCCAGCACTGGGCTGTTTGCAACAACAAGGGTACTACATAACAGAATTCAACATGGGTAAACATAATGTGGAATAAAGGAAGACACAATAAAGTATATATGGTAGCATTTCATTTATAGAACATTCAAACTCAACTTGAACTAAACCCAACTATATCACTGAGGGATGCCTCTGCCAGTGGTAAAACCAAAAAGAAGAACATGGAATTGAATGCCATAAAAGTGAGGTTAGGGGCTACTTCTCATTGTTGAGTGAGGGGTGTGGTCAAGGACCCCATGAGAGACTTTTTGGGTGCTGACTACATACTAGTTTTTCACCTGATTGGTTGTTTCATGTATTCACTTTATTATAATCATTCCTTATACATATATGTTTTATGTACTTCCCTCTGTATGTGTTATAGTTAGTAATTCAAAGCATTCTTTAAGAAATACAAGATATGTTGAGACATTCTAGTTGTTTATTACAGTTCCATTTACCATTCAAAATACATTAATTTCAATTTGACTTGTCTTAGCCATAGTGATAAGGCACAGCATACATAAATAAAAACTCTTGGACTCATGATGTAGATCAAAGTTGCTTGTAAAACACATGCATCCAAATAATAATTGTTATTAAATAGTATAAAAAATACATGTCTTGAAAGCAAATTATGCCAGTTAACTCAGAGAAAGTAAGATCCTGTTTAGCACAAATTTGCTTTTAGAGAATAGCTGGGCACTAAGTAAAAAGCCAAGCAACGGAAAACCACATGGTTTTGCTCAACAAGTTAGGGCTTCTGTTTTTGTTTTTCTTTGATTCAGGACAGTCTTCATTTGTCATGGAGTGACCACTAGGGAAATACTCAGCCATATCCCTTCTCTCCAGTCTAGAGATGGAGACAGAAATAGGCACACCATTACTTCCTAGGAAGGTAAGACAGGGGCTTTGTGTGGACCTTCCCGCTGAGCAAAATCTGCAGGTCACGAGGGAGTTGAACTAGTAAGGAGGTTTGAGGGTGGAGCTAGCTTTCCATTTTGGGAGAAGCATGGGTGGGAAGATCCGGAGGAAAGAGAAACCCTAACTGCAAACAAGCACATCCAGAGGCTGGTGTGTAAAGTGCAAAAGGGCGAGAGGGTAGGAAGGGGGGAGGATGAAGCAAGTGTGAAGGGAGATTCCCTCCTTCCCAGAAGGAACAGGGAAAAGAGATGGACCAGCTACAGGGGGGCCTCATCTCTGGTCTTTTTTTTTTTTTTTTAACAGCAACACTTTTATTGCTTCTGAGAATTTCCCTAGAGCAGGCATCATCCTATTGCACAGATGTTTCGTTCTCACATTTTAAAGAGTTGCAGTTAAAAGCTTCAAAGTAAAGACAAGTAAAATACCCAGTGTAACTAGAGGTGAGTAAGTGTGGGCTTTAAGGGGACAGGGTCCATTGTTTTTCCTTCACACGTGTACCATCTCTGATTAGCAGCTGCATTTGGATAGCACTTCTGGCCCCAATTCCCAGAGATCCTTTTGAAATCAAACTGGGACCCCATTTATCAAGAAAATCAGAGCCCAGACCTTCAGGAACTTGAATAAGGCTGACACTCACTGGCTTAATTAGGATAGTAGCAGAGAGCTGAAGGCTGACAAAAGTAGCTGAAGTATCCCTGTTTGTCTTAAAGGGGAATGGAGTTCCAAACGCAGGGGAGGGCATATGGTAGTCTGCCCTACCCCGTTCTGCAAGCTTAGTAAACCCAGGAGACAGGCACCCACTGTGGAGAACTGCATGCCTAGTCAAAGGCTTCTTGCAATTTCTTAAGGGTTTCATCAGTGCCATTATTGACCAGTGAGAAGTCAAAGTAGTGAGCATACTGGCTGCAGATGGCTTCTGAGTCCCTTTGCAACTGCTGCAGGGCTTCCGTCTGACTGCCCTGGTCAGTGGGTGCAATAAACACAATGAAAGGTGAAAGTTCTGCTGTCCGAACAATCTTCAAGGTCTGGGGCTAAATGTCAAGGATAGCAATCTTGTCCTGATTATGAATCTGGTGCACCGTCTCAAATTTGGTGCCGAACATGTTGCCTTGGTAGCTGCCAAACTCCAAGAACTTGTTGGCAGAGATGTTCCTTGTCATCTCCTCCGTGGAGATGAAGTGGTACTCTTTCCCGTCTTCCTCACTCTTCCTAGGTGGCTGTGTTGTATATGGGGCAGGGTACGCAAACTTCTCCGGGCTCTGGCTGAGCAGGGCATTCTTAATGTGGCTGCTACCCACCCCACTGGCTCCAATCAGCACCAGGGTCTTCCTCTTCAACGCAGGGAGCTGAACCACTTCCTCGTAGGAAACAACGTCCAACTGGTCAAAAATCGAGCTATGCTTGGCCAGGTACTTGTCTTTGTACTTCTTCTTCTTCCCGAAGGGACTGCAGCTCGGGGTTTCACTGGGAGCAGACTGAGCCACACTTGTCACACGCCACTCCTGCAGCTCAGGAGAAGGGATCAATCCTGCTGACTCCTTGGAGGAGCCTTCCACCCACCCCTGCCACCAGTTACTGTCATCCTTGTTGATGATTTTGATAATGTCTCCAGTAATAAACTTCAGTCCCGCCTCCTTGCAAGGGATCAGGTTGTCCTTTTTGGGATCATAGTCAAACTGAGCTCTCATGAACATCTGTAATGCAGGAAGACGATTTTGCTGGTTGGGGATTACTTTTAACGAGATCTTTCCTTTGGTTTCTTTCATCGCCTTTCTGCAGCTTATCTACCGAGTGATTGGTCACATTTGTGCCATTGATTTCTAGGATCTCATCCCTGACGCGAAGGGAGCCTTGTCTATGAATCATGCCACCATGAAGAATTCTTGCCACCATACACGACTGATTTTCATTCAGCTTCAGAGTGATTCCCATGGGCCTTCTCGAACTGTATGAGTCGCACCTTCCACACCTCCTGCCCCTTGGCATGGACAGGGCTACCCAGGGTGTCAGACCCATTGGTGTACATGTCCTCAGTCATGGCATTCAACTGGTGTGACACTGCCTCAGGCCGGATGCGCTTCTGCAGCAAGTGCTCCAGGTAGAGGTTGGAGAGTGCCGTGCGCATGCTGCCTCCTGTCTCGCCCTCGCTCGCCTTGAGCGTCATGGGCCAGAAGCCGGGCTGCGGGCAGTGGGCACACAGACTCGTGGCGAGCGGAGCCGGAACTGCGAGCAGCTGCGGCCTGCAGGGTGGTGGAGGTGGCAGGGCTCATCTCTGGTCTTTTACCCACACCCATTCTACCCATAGAGCTGTGGGCTAGAACCTGCTTCAGCTAGTCACCCAGCAGCCCTCTCCTGCTTCCGTCGTGCTCATCTTGACCATCACTCTCTGTTCTCACCTTTCCAACATCCTCACCAGAATGGCTCCTGATCTCCATCTGTGCCAGTCACTGGCTTCCCAGTCTTCCTGGTGTCCCCCTACAACTTCCAGTGTGTCTTCCTCATTTAAAGAGCCCTGCTGGAAGCCCTCTCAGCTGCTCCCACCACCCTCCATCCACCTGCATTGCTATATATATTTTCTATAGAGGCTACCACCAATTCAGAACCACCTTTGCACCCCTCATGCAGAATAGCCATGACATAATGGCAGAGATTCCATATCTGTACCCTCCTCTCTTCCTTTCTTCCTTTCTTCCCTCCCTCCTGCCTGCTTGCCTGCCTGCCCTCTTTTATGTATTCATACACTCAAAATTTAATAAACATCTACTATGTTTCAAGTATTTTTCCAGGCACTGGGGATAAAGTGGTTAGAAAAAAAAAGTGCAAGTGCAAAGAGCTTAGATGAATAGCTTAGTCTTCTGTTATCCAGGGATAACAGACAGACAATGGATTATAACTCGGTGTGATGAGTTTCATGTTAGATGGGGCTGGGTGCCACCCTGCTACTCCAAAAGCCAGTCATGGAGAAACCATGTCAGGTCACTCTAGAGGCCCACTGGAACCCAGTGGGCAGCATAAGGCACCAAGAAAGGACATCAAAGTCAGATACAACCACTCCTCACAGGAGCACCACCCAGCCACCCTCCGCAAAGTCGGGAAACTAGCACCTTGGGTTCTTAACACCTTGGAGATCACCACCCTGTGGCCTGCCCCCAGGTGCACCCCTACACCTCACCACCTCCGTATGCCCAAGGCATCAGGGTTTTCTGTCTGCATCACACCTGGTCCTGGGCAAATCCTCCAGTGCAGGAACTGCATTGAAGAACAGGGGCTTTGGCTGGCAACATGGCCTCCTCCAGGCTGGCTGCACTGGCCCCCAGCCAGTAGCAAGGATCTCTTGGGAGCTGACATCTCACAACACTAGTCCAGTGAAATGTTTCCAGATCCCCTGGCTGGCCCAGTCAGGGAAGAGGTTGTGGCCAGGGCTCCATTACCCCTCCTTGGCCGATCTCCCTTCCAAACTCAAATCACTAACCATAGTGGGTCCTTAGGCCACCCCACCCACCCTCATAGAAATGCCCTGCAATTCTCTTGTCTGTTGAGTTTCCCACTCTCCTGGCCTCTTCTTTCCTGAAATCTTTCCCATCCTCACTCTGAGCTGACAACCTTGGTTCTTATGTCATTAGATGTAAGAGCAATGGAAAAGGGCTTCCAGCGCCCCCATCACCACACCTACCCACCTGCCGCACACGTGCTCCTCTTTCCCTCCTGTTCCTATGGGCACTTGTCCACACTCCCAGCAAGACCAACTCCTCACCATACCTCTCTCCCCTCCTCCAGAGCATCGATCATTTTTTAAAAAGTGATGTATCCTTATAATTTTAAGGTTGGAGCAAAAGGAAATGTTTCATATAAAACACTGGGGAAATCACTTAAAATATTTACCCTCAGGATTAAATCTAAGTTTAGAAGTAGAATGGTCACATGGCTTCTAACAGTGATGGAACAACTCCAAAGGGTCACAGGGAGACAGACAAGCAATGAGCTACAGATGCAGCCCCAATACAATACTTAAGTTGAGGAATGTAGTGGGCCTGGTTTGACATAGCAGAGAAGGGGGGTCTCTTGGGCCTGCCCCAAGCCTGCCCTGAAGCAGGGCCTCCTTGTAGAACCTCCACAGTTCGAGCTACTGAGGTGTAAGCAGCAGTGTCCCAGGGGCTTCTGGGAAATACTTTACTTTCTGATACAAGAGGCAAGTGCTAGAGAAGAGCTTGCCTTTGCTGTAATAGTCAATGCTACAGTCAGTGACGTCCCAGTTGTCACCCAGAAGGAGGCGACAGCCAGCCGTGATATATTTGAGCATGATTCCAACCATCAACACCAAATGCTGACACATCAGACAAATGGGTCATTGTGGCAGTGAGGGACTTCTGGACACACAAAGACCTTCTGAGCTTTGCCCATGCAATTCTATGCTTCCAAAGACACATGCCTATGGATCCCAGTGATGGTTAGGTGGCTATTACTGGTCTGGGAATTCATCCCAGTACATCTACAGTGAGAATGCTCATCCCTTCTAAAAGAAAGCCTACTCTTGGACCAAGGGATAGTGAAGGGGACAGGAGGGAACTCTAATTATGACTATTACTTGCTATGATCAATAAATGGGATTTCATTTAAAGAGTCCAGGCATGAGATTATCCTATTATATTGGCCTCATACAGGTTGGGGAGAACAGAGAAATTAAAACAGCTCCTAAAAGCTTTCTGTTTTCTCTTTCTGTATCAGGTCTGACGACTTATACTGAATTGGGGCTTTTCAAAACAACCAGGCAGATCCATCTTGCATAAATGAGAGACATGTAACCCACATATTACATACAGTGCCTCAATCAATCTAGCTAATGAGTGGTAGTATATATTCTATTCTGCTGCATAACGTCTATCACAATGAGAACAATTTTTTAATGTAAACTGTATGTTCAAATTTATTACCAAACTTGAAGTGAAGCAAAAGATAACTTTCCAATGGATAAAAACTTTCTATTTCATTGGGCTAAAAAGACCCTGTGCAGAAAAGCAAGTAACCCAAAGTCACTTTTGGGGCACTGTTTATCTTTGTGCTAAAAATCAAGATGATACAGTGAAGAATGAGTTTCAGTTTTACTTTCATTTGAAATCATTTCTGTTACCTAGTGAGATAGAATAATTTCCCCTCTAGAGATAAAGGCCATCTGTTTAGCAAACAGAAAGTAACTACTATTTCCCCTTCTTGTTAACAGAACATCAGTTTTGTTCTGTTATGGGGAGACAGCGCACCCATAGCCCAAGGGGATGAATCATAATGGGTGTAAGGCAGTTACTGTCGTGCCTTGTCCAGACTCCCATGGCTAGGACTGGCCTCCACTGTCCTAGCTACTGAGGTGTAAGCAGCAGTATCCCGGGTGCTTCTGGGAAATACTTTTCTTTCTGATAAAAGAGGCAAGTGCTAGAGAAGAGCTTGCCTTTGCTGTTCCCCACACACCCTCTTCCCTTTGAAGGTGGCCATGAGGCCTGGAGGCACAACAGCTGCCTTGCAATCATGAACTGATAGTGTCAGGAGCCAGCAGACTGAGGGTGATAAGGCAGATGGACAGAACAAGCCAGGGTCTTGATGGCATCAATGACTTGCTGGACCAACTCTGAATGGATGACTTCTGGTTCTCTTTTATTTAATTAAGTAATGAATGTTCTTGAGTTGAAGACCCTGTCCATTGAGTGTTCTTTCACTTGTAGCCATAAATATTTCCAGCTAAAGCACAGAACTTTAATTACTGGTTCAATGACTGCCCATAAACCCAGTATCTAAATTTAACTTTTGCTAATATTAACTGTATTTGTCTTATTCCTGTGTGCGTGTATTTTCAATATATACCAAAAATAAGTTGTAGACATCATAACACTTTACCAACCTTTACCACATATCTCCTAAATATAAACACATTTTCTTTTATGACCACATTGCCTTTGTCCCTCCTAAAAATATGATGAATTCTTTGATAATATCTGAGAGCTGGTCCATATTCAGTTTCCTTTATTAACCCCCAACTGTCTTCTTGTGGTTGGAGAAAAGTTCCATTTAAATGGTATAAATGGGACTTGTTGTTGATTGTGTTTTGTCATTTTCTTCTTCCTCCAATAAAAATGATTCACCACTCCCTCCTCCTATAACAACAAAGTGTCCTTCTCCAGCCCGTTACAGCTTCTGAGACTAGGAGAGCCCCTGGAAGGATTTGAATAGAGCTTTGGAATTAAGACTGTAACCAATCACCTAAAAGCCTCAGCCAAAAGTGTTATAAGAGCTCCCACTTGGAGACTTATTTGGGACTGAGCTCCTGGTCTACTAATAGTCTTCTCAGTTAGACAGTGAGGTGGAGGACCATGAACACTTAGTATGGAGTAAAGTGCCCTCTCTGTGAGACAAGCTTCTCTAGTTTGAGGACCTGACCTTATAACCCCTCCTCAAATGATTCTACATACACTACTCCACAATTTACATGTAACAGCGTGAAAAAAAAAATGAACAGGAGGTGACACTGTTTTTACCCACAGTTGTAGTAATTATAATACTGCTTGTGTATTTGTAATAGTAAACACTCTTTATAATCATTATTAGGAAAAATGAAGATGTACCCACACTCTGGAAGAGAGAAATGGGAAAACAAACTAATTGTTTTGTGACATTTAAATTAGGAAAACCAGTTGAGATTTTTGTAGAACAATGTATGTAAAAGCACAAATGTTGTTGATTATCTTGGCTTATTTTTTTAACCTCCTGTTTTACTTACTTAAAACCACTATGCTCAGAGGAGCTGTGCAATTTCAGATCGATGACATGAGGTAGCAGAACCACCTCCTCAGAAGCAACGTGCCCCTTTCCCAAGTAGAGATTCCTAGGGTAACATCTAACCAGAGACTTACCTACACAATTCTTCATTGGCCCAGTGTTTGCAGTTTCAGTTTCAGTCTGTTTCTCTTCATATCCAGAGTTTTCAGTGTCATTTAATTCTCTTGCCATAGCCACAGGCTAGGAGAAAAACATTTCAAATGATGAAAACTACTCTAGTATGGTCATAAGCTGGAAGAAATCAAAGTGCTTTAACTTAATTCCAATTGGATTCCTCTAAATCCATTATATTCATTTATTTCAACTGTAGGAACTTAATTGTGTAATCTATTATAAAAGCTTTATTGCATATGAATAAAGTCATAGCAATTGCTGTTGACAGAAGCTTATTATTACCACTCAAAACCAATTGTTTTGGGGGAAACATCCAGCCAGCCATAATCAGAGACTCACATGCTTATCACACACAAAATTTTCACTAAATTATCTGTGTTGCCATTCAACCCAGGAACAATGGAGTAAATAATTTGTCCTTCTTTAACTTGTTATTTTTCCAACTTTAATTTTTCTAAAGGGCAAATTTATTAATCTTGGTATGACTATTGCAAATCATAAATAAAAACTTTGTTACATTTTCACCAGCATACCCCAGAGAAGTAAATGCTTGCTTTTTCTAGTGACAAGTTCACTCTTAAATGGACTTAAAACAAGGAATTTCTAAAACTTTTAACATTTTGCTTAGCAAACATAGATGGCAGGAAGATTTCAATCTTTCCCTGGATTCCCAGGGGCTGTGTAGAAAGATGAATTACAAAGCAGTGCAGTGAACAGCTTCTGAACCACATGCAGGCATTGTTACCATGGACCACTTGTTGTGGAAAGTGCCAGAGGTGCAAATGTTCCCAGCGGGCTCACGGAAGAGAGGCTAGCGGTTTCTGCCCCTCATGACCTCCCAGCACAAGAGACTGCAGGGAGGCCCTTCAAGGCCTGCAGGTCACCATACTGGGAGAAGCGGACACACCTCCTCTTTGGCCTTGGCTTGGATAAGCATAAGAGATGTGGAAAACATCCTGTCTTATAAAAACCTAGGACACATGCAGGAACATTCATTAAGATCCTTAAAGAAGAAAGTTTTATTTTGTGCTTAGAAATATGTCAGAAATTTCTTAGAAGCAAATAAGAGCTGGCCCTCTGCAGAGTTAAGTGGCAACACATCTCCAGAAGGTCTCTGTGCTCAGAGAGTGTCCCCTTAGAGCTGTGACCCTCCTTCCAGGAAAGGCTGCCTGGCACCTTTCTCTTTCTCCCTGCAGGCTTTGAAGCCCTGACCCTCATTGGCAATCCTCATTCTCTGCAAACTGTGCCAACCAGGCTCTGCACAGATGAATCCTCCTAAAGGTGAATGTGCAAGTTTTGGGCTGGTCCTCCTAGGCTGCTTGGCCTTCTTTCCAAGAACAGGGCCAATAAAACCAAAAGGACTCCACTTTTTAATAGGTATTTTCTCTCTGGCAAAGAAGGGTTGGACTGGGGATGTTTCCAGTTCTTTGGTTCACAACATAATGGGTAACATTCAGGAGCACTGTGGCCCAACCAAGTCTTTTTTTGTTGTTTTATTCTGTCCCAAGAACTAAAAGCATGAAGTTAAGGATCCTTGAGGCCTGATTCACTTCGGTCATGACTTGAAATACTTCTCTCAGACAGGCTCCAATTCTTGAGACTGTCTCCATGCAAACTCCATACATCTTGTTTGCAGTTAATGGCAGAGTTATTTGAGAAATTTAAGATACAAATCTTTTACTTTATAAGTGTTCTACCAAAGAAAGCCAAAAAGATATCATGAGGCATTCAATCTGACACATTCTAGATAAATTATTTAAATTCTGCTGCAAATGCTTCAGCTTAAAATAAGTGGCTTTGTTTGTAGAAATGTGTGTGGTACCACATATTTGTCAAAACTCCTCACCCATCTGAAAGTGCTGTAGTCCTGGTAACTGGGGAGCTCAGCACAGTTGAGCGAGTCTTGCAGGCTGGCAGGCTATGACATAAATCCATGAGGGCGGGGCTTCTGCCCAGCCCACTATATCTGCCACCTTATCTCAAAGCCCAGGCACAGAGCAGGCACCCAATAAATGTGTCCATTTGCTGTATTTGCAAGTGTAAAAATAAAGCAACAGCACCAGGCCTGAGTTTGTAGGGCCAAGAATTAAAAGCTTTATCTTTGATGTATGCATGTGTTAAGCCACATGGAGGAAAAGAGGGGCAGGTGTAGCTGTTCTTTCAGGAGAAAAATATTCACAAAGTATATGGAAATATTAACACAACTTTGAAACTGCAGGTGGTTTCCCTTAGCAGCATTCAGCAGGAATAAAAAAAAAGCCAATTTAGCTCTTTAGGCAGAAATTTGATGGTACTTGGGAATGGGAGAAGAATTCTACAGAACTTCATTAAATGGTATGCACACACATACATATATTATAGATGGACATAGACACATAAATATGCATACAGAGTATACACATAAGTGTATTTATATACATTTAAACAAAGATTCCTGTGATCTATCCCAAACTTTCTGTGATAAATTAGAGATGGCTTGGTCATAAATAGAGAAATAATTAAATAATCCCCAAAGTTTGGACATAAGTGGGGGCAGGGAGAAAAGTGTTTCTTATTTAGCATAAGAAAACCAGCTTCCTAAAAAAGGAAGGTTTCTCTACATAACCTTAGAAATCATTTTGAAACTTACTACTTTCTCTTTCCATACCTTTAAGGAGCAAAACTGACATATACAAAGTCAATTTTAAAAGAAGAGAAAAGGGATTATTTGCTAGCCCCCAGTAAAGCCCTTCTAAAAGATGTTTCTTCCTGTTGCTGTTTTAAGAGGAAATGGTAATTGGGAAATTGTTGTGAGGCTTGTATATAATAGTAGATGGGTTTTTACTCACCAAAGGAGAATATTTTTCCCCTTACTACACATTGCCTGATAGAAATTATGCACTTGATTTAGTAACCCAGCAGCAATTGAAACCTTAAGGTTAAAAGGCTCAAAGGAGCACAAGGCGGAAGCAATAGGGAGTCAGTTCAGACAGAAGGTCCCTCCACAAGCATACACATTCTAGTTTAGACTAGTTCTATTTCCTGTCCTGGATGCACTCCCCCTACAGACACTGGTGGTCAGCATTTCTCTGAGCACAAACTCGGGTCTCACTGCCTGAGTTCAAATCCAGGCTCCTCTACTCACTCTAACTAGAAGTAAGAGATAATCATCAAGGAACTCTGAACTATTAAATGAGAGGAACAGATTACACAGTTTCTAAGTTCCGATACAGCTGTAATAACCAGTGTTTGGGCATTGAAACAGAAAAACTCTCACTTCCAGCTATTGGAATGAGGAAAGTTGTGTTAGTGAGCAAAAGCTGATGATTTCCAAAGATGTTATTCCTGCAAATAAGTATATGCTTTCCACAAAGTGTAATCCATTCATAAACTAAATTCTGGTTTACCTTATTCTTTAAATAGTATATAAGCTTCATTTGAAGTCACAAGATATTTTGGAGTTGTGACAGAAACACAAATTCATCCAGTAGAATTTGGTTGAAAACTGCATCGGGGATGTTTACTAGGGATCCAAGTAGGGGTTAGAGGTTTGGGGAAGTAAGTGCTAAAAGGGAGAGCTAAGTGCCCTAAAAAGTTTCATTCAATTTACTTGTTCAACGTTCAACATTTATTGAACACTCACTATGTGTGGTGGTGAGGATATTGAAAATAAAGAGCCAAGATCTTTGTGCTTCCAAAATCCTAGCCATTGCCTGTTTCTGCACCCACAGGGTATCTGTAGAATTGGGTAGTTCTCTCGCTCCCCAATCCTTCACCAAGGTACTTTGCTGCTGGAGAGATCAGATGACGCCTTGAAGAACTGCTTGTCAGCATGTCTTTTTAATGAGGTTTCTTTACCTCACCATTAATGTTTTAATCAGCAGATGAGAGAGGGGTGACTGGCAATGCCCATTTTATTATTGTTATCACTGTTCCTGGAATATGTAAAAAATTATTGATACTGGCACCAAAAAAAGACATATTCTTTCACCAGGAAACAGAAAACTGGGTTCTATTATAGGGTGGATGATCAGTGATGAAATTTGGAGAGTGTGGGGAGGTTAAATCTGAGGATTGCTGTGTTGGATGAGGGGGGAGGGACTGAGCCCTCGGGGAAGCTAACTTCCATTCCTTTGCTCCACATCTCCACATTCTGTTGGAACAGTTCACATCCCCAGCTGCATCCCCACTCCCTGGACATAGTTCCAGAATTCCAAAACTGGAGTTATTTCTTACTTCACTCCCAGAACCAGCTTTGTCTACGAAGTTAGATACACGCACAGAACCTGATAAATCATTCCATTCAAATTAATTTGATGTCAGAAAAAGCTTTGACTGGCTTAATCTTGAAATTTACTTTTAACTGAAAATATTTGAATTACTCAAAAGGCGTAATTTATTTTAGATGGATAAAAATTCATGTGTAAAACCCCGATAGCCAAAGCAATCCTGAGAAGGAAAAATAAAATGGGGGGGAGGGGATCTCACTCCCCAACTTCAAGCTCTACTACAAAGCCACAGTAATCAAGTCAATTTGGTACTGGCACAAGAACAGAGCCACAGACCAGTGGAACAGAATAGAGACCCCAGACATTAACCCAAACATGTATGATCAATTAATATATGATAAAGGAGCCATGGACATACAATGGGGAAATGACAGCCTCTTTAACAGTTGGTGTTGGCAAAACTGGACAGTTACATGTAAGAGAATGAAACTGGATCATTGTCTAACCCCATACACAAAAGTAAATTCGAAATGGATCAAAGACCTGAATGTAAGTCATGAAACCATAAAACTCTTAGAAAAAAACATAGGCAAAAATCTCCTGGACATAAACATGAGCGACTTCTTCATGAACATATCTCCCGGGGCAAGGGAAACAAAAGCAAAAATAAACAAGTGGGACTATATCAAGCTGAAAAGCTTCTGTACAGCAAAGGACACGATCAGTAGAACAAAAAGGCATCCTACAGTATAGGAGAATATATTCATAAATGACAGATCTGATAAAGGCTTGACATCCAAAATATATAAAGAGCTCACACATACCTCAACAAACAAAAAGCAAATAATCCAATTAAAAAATGGGCA